TGTGTGTGTGTGTGTGGGTGTGTGTATATATATCATGTTCTATTTTATTGATAAAGATATATAGTCAAAAGTACTCGTTAGTTTTCAAATATACAGCACCACCATTATTTGTTTATTCATGTTTATTTATTATTGTATATATATATGGGTGTGTGTGTGTGTGCGTTTATAATATAAATTTGTCAGTCTAAATTATAAACAAATTGTTTGTCCATTATGAAAGTAGTAATAACTTTCGCGTGGTTATTTATATTTAAGTATCTTTAATTAGAAGATAGTTTATAATACTTCAACAACCTTGATGTTTGTTTTTCTTATCCTTTTAAAAATTTATAGGAGTTTTGAATGCAATAAATTATTGTGGTATAAATTAATCATTATGACGACTGGACCAATTTCGTCAGCTGCGTCGGCAGTACGTGATTTACTCTGTTATGCAAACTCATTAAATGAAACACACTCTTCATTTGACATAGGAGGTGCTGGTGTCGAAGCTACTTCAGGCTCAGCAGCTACTAGGTATTTAGATACGTATCACGATGGAAGGGAATGCTGCACAAAGGGTATACATTCTGATATGTCCTGTGAAGTTGATCGTCTGGCAACGTTTAAGAATTGGCCGCGTGAGTCGACAATGACTCCAAGCACTCTCACAAGAGCTGGATTCTTCTACACTGGTTCTGGTGACATGGTGAAATGCTTCTCATGTAATGGTAAAATTGAAGATTGGGAGTTTGGTGATTCAGCAATTGGAGAGCATAAACGATTCTTTCCTAACTGCAAGTTTGTTCGAGAAAAATACATGCAGAATCAGTTGCTGTGGAACCAGGGAGCATCGGGAGGACCACCAAACAGGCCTTCTGATCGATTAGCAAGTGAATATTTCCGCGTCTTAACGTTCCTACCCTGGCCACACCTTAGCCCAATAGAACGTCCCTGCCCAATACAAGCACAAGCATTGGCCAGAGCCGGGTTCTACTACGTACAAACGAAAGATATAGTGAGGTGTTTTGCTTGCATGGGAGAAATATCAAATTGGGAGTGCGTGGACATTCCTATGGTACAGCACAAAAATATGTTCCCTGGCTGCCCATTCGTTCGGGGTGAGGATATTGGTAATGAAAGGCTGACTACAGTAAATGTCATCAATATTCAACAGGCTCTCATCTATCAAGAACCAGCCACCAAACTGCCCCAACAGGAGAACGAAAATCCAAACCACGTTGGTCAACTGCGACAGACAGCTAAATTGACTGACGAATGGCCATACTTGATATCAAACCCCTTGGTACGAGCCCAGCGCCATCCTCTCTGCATAAATTCTTCGGTGCATTCATCAGAGGCTGGTGCATT